GCGTGGCTGCGTACTTCAACTAGTGGCTTGTTTTTGGAGAAATACTTTCGTTTGACAGAGTTATGGTCGTGTCTCTCTCCAATTTGGAACAAGGTGACAGCTGTCAAAACTGGAATATCCTAAGAGGAATCCACTCTGTGCCATGTTCAAATGCCACTCCTACTCCGTCTCAGGGATAAGGAGTGTAGGCCATGTCGCAGTCAGCATGCCACTATATTATGAATGGAAGCTGAATGCGCGTCGCACTCTCGGAATGGATTTATGAACTGTTTCAGCTTTTTCCGTTCTTTATGAACCACAGCAGAGCGGAACCCATATAGAGTGATATCTGTGCCAGCTCAAAGCCTCTTACCGACAAGGTCATACTCTCTCCATATCTCTGAGCCTTGATGTTTTTTCTTCACCGAGGAGCGTACTGCTAAGAGGACCGACACGATAAGGTCACGTTCACGTGGCTGACACGGTCCCGTTACTTATACATTGAGCCTTTCTGCAGTCATTATCCCTGCAAACAAGAGGGTGTGTAAGGAGGCGTGGATTAGATCGCAGCCGGGGTGGCCTTCCATAACAACTTCCACCATCCTGTGCCCGCAACAATCGGTGGAAAATGCTGCTCTGGAAAACGCTGCCCTTCAGTCCACGCCCCTTGACACATCCTTTCATTTACAGGAATAATGACTCTACCTACAACGGCTTAAAAAGCTGTAGCGCACGTAGGGCTGGATGGCGTGTGTCCAGAATATTCAGCACACTGAATATTTCCAGCTTTTTTTTGGTAAAAATGTGAGTGACACTCTGGGGGCTTACCATCAATTATGGAACGAATAGGTTAATAACAAATAGTTAGCGATGGCACTGGGGGCTGGGGAGGGGAGGAGCGTTAAAAGACTCCGGATGCGAAACATGAGTTACCACAATAGAAAGGAGGTTTTTTTGTCCAGACCTGAACAGAGAGGAACTGGGGGTGAACCAATTCAAACTACGTACGATAGCCCTAATTGGACAATGAAATCACAGTTCTACAAAAGGGGTCTTTTGAATGCCGTCCAGGAAATTTAATGTTTTTGATGTTGAGCTACTTTTTCCGGGAATTTTGTGTAAGGACACAAAATTACCTTGATATAAGAGTCATGACCACCAGTTTAACACCAGGAGCGCGATTGATGACACGTAACGGCCGAAGTGCTCCGAGAGTAGCTCGCCAACACCACGAAATCACGCAAAGATCTTAACCGGAGAATCTGACAATAAAATATAGTGAGTCAAAAGAAAATAAAAAATGATACGGTATGTTAGGTAGCTGAGCATAGAATTCTATGTTCATCTCCTTTCGCGTTTAATCCTCACCAGCAGCTAACTAATTTTTTTAGGACCAAGTAAATCCCGATGGTCCAGTGATTAATCGATTTCGCTGATTACTTTAGGCTGCGTCATACTTTGCGGCAGCGTCCACCAGCTCTGCTAGCTCCTCGAGGGCTAGCCTCCTATCTTCCTATACACTACCAATTATTTGCTACCCTCCTACTTTCCCATACTTTCTACTCCCGCCCGGTCGCTGGTGAACGCTGGCAGACGCTAGATCGATATCTATACTTTCCTAGTCGCTGACGCTGCCGGATGCTCAGGAACGCTAATGGATGCTGATACACGCTGGTGGACGCTGCCGTAAAGTAGAACGCAGCCTTACGCTTCCATGCCTCTCCCCTATAACCACCATGATTTCCCACGCAGGCAGGTAAAGGACAGTGGCTGCCAGAACATCCTAGGGTGCGAACCAGGAATGGACGTCGTTGCGGGCCCCTCCCACCCGCAACAACCTCCATTCCCGGAAATGAAGAAAAACGCGCTCCAGTCACACAATCACCAAATCGCGATAGTGGACAGCCACCAAGTATGAACATCGCCCTTCTGCAGCCCCCCCCCCCTCTATGAAACTTACCGCCGGTGGCGAACAGCTCGAATAAGACGTTCACCAACGAAATGATCACCAATATTCCATCAAGAATATTCCAGCCATCTTTGAAATAAGCACCTCGACCTAGCACGCAACCATTGGCAATCACCTGAATATTAATTGTTGCAAAAGAAGGGTTTGTTAGGAGTTAAGAAAGGACATTTCGCGATAGGCGGGTGGGTGGAGAAAAGGGCGGAAACTTCCCACCACAGTGCTTTCATTTCTGCTGTGTAACTCCCTCCAGAATGAGAAAAAGGACCACAGAAGGCACAATAGTCGTAAGTGACCGCCCATCCGATCATCGCGGAATGTGTCTTTGAAAGAATGTCGACGTAGCAAAACTATACCTTCATGGCCATTTCTAGCGAGAATATAATTGTGAACACATAGCCGGAAAACGTTAAGAATTTTCTTTCAAGGCTATGAGGCGGTATAGATGGACGTTCCATGGCAAGTGTTATGCAGTTAATTCCGATAAAGACCAAGATCGAATAATCGAACCATTTCTTTTGAGTTAATTGCAGACACCTGGTAATTAGACATGTGAAGGACACTTGCAGTACATTGAAGAATGTTTGCTCAGCAGTACTTGATTCTGAATGGATTCTTTGGACCGAAGCAAAACAGAGAATACTCGGCCTTCTTGTATAGGCAGGTCTTTCGCAAGAATTTCCGAAAGCACGTGTTTTGTTTCTGTTCATTTCGTCGTTCTTCTTCTGCCAAAGCTTGCTTTAGTTCTTGGCTAGCCTGAAAAATAAGTTGAATAATAATAAAAGTGAATAAGAAAAATAAAAATGTGTTCATTTTCTAATATGCCACAAGCAACATGCAAAACCAGGGCACGTCCTGCCTTGGAGAAAACATCCGATGAATACGACCCCCCCCCTTCCCCCTCCCATCCCCCATCCTACACCATTTTCCTGAACTTTCCCAACTTCCCAACACATTTCTAACGTTTTTCTTTTTTCGAGAAACTCCTCCACTTTCTCCCAAAGCGAGGGGAGGGGGGGGGCTATGTAACCCAATTGAAACAGGAAAACCCGAGAAAAGTCCTCACGTCAAGAACTCATTTTTCAAAGGAATCCACATACGATCCCCCTCCCTCCAGTGGTCAAACATGACCCCTTCAGTGGAGATCCCTAAAGCATGACGTGTCCTGTTAGACAAGTAGTGAACAAATAGCCTAGAGCGAAATTCTGTGTACTTCGCAGTTTTTCTTCCAGACACGGCTCGCTTTCCTTTGATATAACCCATAACCCAAGCAATGCACCTACTCATTGTTCTATCTTTCGCTATAAACTACCAACCTCAATGAATTTTTCACGAGCATAGGTTTCAAGCAGCGCTCTTCGTCCGTGAATAGGGCAGTGGGGGTTGTAATGCGGACATAATCCACTCCAACTGTGAATCCGTTGACGATGTGTTGGGCCACCGTTTTGTCCGCAAAGCACAAGCGATGTTATGCCGATTCAAGCTGAAGCTCTGACCCCTTGAAATACGAACGCTTATAATCAATCAATATTTCTAGTCGATCAGTCCTAGAGATTACTTACCGTTTACTAATTCGATCTGAGTAGTCGTTTTGTTGCAGTGGTGAGGAATGACGTGCAACAACGACACATCGATCAGAATTTGGTAGAACGTTTCTATTATCATCGTCTCGCACTGAACGCTCATTGCCATCGCGATTTTCCACGGAGGTGACCTTAGACAAAACATTTCATATTCTGTATTTACTGTAATTCATCATTTAATTCAATATTGTACACAATAACAAATACAAATATTGATAACGTACTCACACTTCTCGTAGTGGAATCGATGGCTTTGGCATACAAGTACAATCAGCACCTTGTGTCCCATTAAGAAACGCCGGTGAACTGGATCTTGCCAAGAGAAGTTCTAGTTCCTTTTTTCGTTCATCTTCCTCCTCCTTCGCTTTTTTCTTTGCATCTTCTTCCTATATGTACTTGTAATCAAAACATTTGAAGCGTATACACCTAATCGAAATTTCAGTGGACATTACGGACGCTTGTCTATTATTTTAAAAGGATAAAAAAGATCATGGATAGACAGAAGGGGTAAAGGGCAAGGGTAAACATAAACAGTGGGACTGCCGACAATTAGGCGTACCGCTGAAGAACTGATTCAACTGGGCCGCAGATGAATGGAAAAGGGGGAGCGCTCCAAGCATGAGGGCCTGCGATCTCCCAGGATCGTGTCCACAACCCTGCTGTCACTTGATGGGCAGTAAAATCCTGTCGTAGTAGTCTTTGCGCTTGGCCAGTCTCTTGTGTGATGCGGGCGTGCATTTACTTCTATCAGAATCGTAGTGGTCGACTTGAATGCGATTGTGGCGACACAATGCACTGCGGGCCAGCCAATGTAATCAGGGTACAGCATGGTTGTTGCGAAGACACATAAGGGGTCGTAACTTTAACTGGGGAGGGGGTGGGGGGGGGGTCGATGTGGCTTGAGAGAATCCGCCGGTGGGAAATAAATTGTCCCGGTTTTTGCCTTTTCATTGGTTTTTCATTCATGATTTACATATACGCCCGCTCCCCCCCACCTGCTTGACGGATAATCTGAATTTTTGGGTGAAAAACTGATAGGAAGCTGGAAACTTGTAGGAAAGTGGAGGTAAGTGTTGGGGAAGGAAGGAAAGCGGGGGGGGGTGACGTACTGACACCACCTTTCACACAGCGATGCTCTATCCCGCTGGATAATACCATCCATCATTCTTATCCTCCGTCCTTATCCAAACCGTCCGAGGACAGAGGGCTTGCCTTAAGCCTGGGTTCACCACACCTACACTTGTATCCCGAAGACGGAGGAGGGCGTGACTGCGGTGCCACTCAAAAACACCGCGTACGGCGCCTATTTGCAGTGTTTTATTTGAAACATCTCGTCTCCTGAAACAGAGCACCATATTAGTTTTGTTTGCCCCAAAAATGGATAACAATTCCCCTGAAAGCGCAGTAGCCGCCACGTTCCAATGAGGCACACAGCCACGCCCACTCCACCTCCGGGATATGTAATGTATCTTACGAGCCTCCCTCTCTACCAGATTTACAGAAGTACCAGCGTTAATCATAGTCGCAGGGCGCAGTGCGCGATAACCGAAGGTCGGAGAAATGGCTAAAAATCATAACCACCCACCACTACCTCAATGGTGAGCCTCCCTTTTTACTGTACGAGAAGTGTGCAAAAGGAGAAAGTTACAAGCGCCGTGACTTCCCGCCCACCTTCTCATCGCGGAATGTGTTGTTGACCAAGTACTGCGGCAATGCAACGCCTGTCTTTCTATTCCCTCTCCATTTCCTTTTCCTTTTTTTGAATTTAATATCCATGTATTCGCTTATATTAGGCGATTAAATCTGGATAATACAGTTGTCGGAGAAGACAAGTAAGACAAGACTAAGGCACGCCTATTCCCTGCTCGTCTGGGCTTTTTGCAGCTCATTGTCAGATGCCTAGTTCAAACTAGCAGCTCAGACAGCTGAGACATGACTGAAAAGTGATTAATTTCGGTGATCGTGGGCACAGCATTAACGATGCGGTGGAATTCCGGTGAAGGACGACTACCCCCCCTCACAATTCCTTCCGATACGAACCCCTCTTACAACCTACACACTGCTTCCCGATATTCTTCCAACTCCCTGCTAAGTTCCCGAAATTTTTAGCTCCCGAAATGCTTCCTGGAGAAACCAAAAAGGCTGCCGTGAAACGGCGGAATGTAGAATTTCTTCGCTGTCTCGTTTAGAACAGACGGACGCAGACGAGTGGAAGAGGGGTGGCTCAGTCTCACTGCCGACTCCCCCATTACTCAATAATCTTAATCGCCCTAACTTCGAGTCTTACTCAAAGTAGTAGGGCGCTCTAGAGAAATAAGTACATACCTGCTGTCAGCTTTTCCTCTTCTTTACTCTCTGAAATCCTTCAATACCAACAATGGCGACTAATAAATTAAATAGCAACATAGTTTCCGAGGTCAGTTAAAGCGCACGAAAATAGAGTGGCGGCCCAACGGTTCGTCTGCGCCATTCCAATTGAATAACACCATATTCCAATCTTCTTGTGTTAAGATCTGTAAAAATGCAAACATGTATAGCGATTGCACCTATTTCAGCACTTAAGAAAGGTTTGGATTTTGTTACGAGTTCATTGGATATTCTTTACACCAGAGTCCTGGCAACACAAAAATCACATTTTCTCGCACGTACGTGTGACGCGCGGCGCGTCGACTGATTAATCAATACATGGTATAGCATGCTGCAGCACTTCACACTCTAGCAACGATACCTACGAGGGCAGTGCTCTCACCTGGAATACTGTCAATGTGGCATGTTGAAATGTATCGAAGTTCATGCGATCACAAGTACATTCTTTGTTGAATATCTGCTTACACGTACATTGTAATCCGGTCTCGTTGTGAATACAGAACTTGTAACCGAAAAGTACCATTCCTAGACAACTGAAAAGCACAACCACAATCACAAACACAACAAATAGTACTGACGACTATAGGGATCCAACAACTATGTATACTTGGTGATGAGCCTCCTCATTTTTTGTTAATATGTCAAAATCATGCAATTTCACATCGCTCGTTATGGAACAGCTGATCACAGCATTCATTAAAAGTAAGTCACACCACTCAACTAAGATTTTATGGAGACATCATGTTGTCGACTACGCTAAGAACGCGGGTTTCTTAGTCAGGCCGCACCGGAGCTTGAGATGTGTCACATTACCGATAGTAGGCGAGTGGGAAGGGTGCTAGAAGTTGCGATGACCAGGAACCCCGCCCATTTCGAGTAGCGACGCTGCATGCACGTGCCGTTGCTGCGTGGCATTGCGATCGGTTTCCTCACCCTCCCACTCACCGTCTGTGACAGGAGAGACTGGGGACCGAGATCCTTGCTGCTGTCCCTATTCTTGCGTGGCTCTTTAAGTTTCCCGTTACGTTTGCGTTTGCTAGTATGCCCATTGCATGGATTGGTCCTTCTTCGCCTGAGCCTATCTGCACTCAATTCCGCGAAATGCTCGTCGCAACATTTGAAATAATTGGTGTTACTTGGGCGTTTTCCACTGTAACTTCTGCTTTTTTTCCTTCACAGAATTTCACTAGCACCCACAGGTTCATGTTTTGATCCCGCTGATCCCCATAAATACAGAGCGGAATGGGTCTTTAAGGCAGTGGATTGGCTTTTGAGTGTCTCCTGCCAAAACCATTGAGAAAGGTTTCTGCACTGCACTCTATTACGGAACGACGACACAGCACATCACCAAACTTAATAAAAGCCGTACTTCCCAGTGAACATCACGACACTATTGATCGCACTTCTGACGGTACACTGCCTTATCCCTGAGACGGAGTAGGCGTGGCATTTGAACATGGCACAGAATTGGTTACTCGTGGGATATTTCAGTCTGAGACAACTGTCATCTTGTTCTGTGTTGGACAGAGACACGACCACAATTGTGTCAAAATGAAAATATCTCTCCAAAAGCACAGCCACTGCCACGTTTAGTTGAAGTACGCAGCCACGCCTACCGCATCTCAGGGATTTCGAGTATAGGTTCTCATGGTTTTCATGATTTCGTATCATTTGTTCACGACCTTCCTGAACTTTCCTCGTAGGTTGGAATAGTTTTCGAAAGGACTCTCAAATGTTTCAAGATTTTTCGGGCTTTCTAGATGGCGAGTCAAGACAATCGTAATCGTAATTCGCCGATCCGTTGCGCGCGGCATGGTCGCGGCGCCTCCCTAAAGCTCATTGGCCTGTTGCTCATTGGCCTGTCTATTGGAGCATCGGATTTCATGTACGCTAGGAGAACGTAGAAATTCATGGCTATTTTTTTTATACATTGTCTATTGCCGCTATCTACGACTTAGAAACATCGTCATTTGGTGCGAGATCGCACGTGACGCCCCTATGACCCCCGCCCCGACGCCCTTATGACCCCTCCCCCTCCCCAAGGTTGTCAGTTACACGTGAAGAATCGCCGAAAGTAGAAAAAAAATATTAACAGTTTTGGTCGCAAGCTTTGAGAGCTCAGACCCGTATATATTTGCAGCGCTGAAAAAAAGGTGGCCTCTCACAGCCCCTACTTTTTTTTCTTCCCTTTTCACAAAATAAGCTCACCTGAAACACTGTGATGAGCGCCCAAAGGAGTGTGTCGAAATTTTTTCGTTCACATTTCTTTGATGGACCACCAAGAAGACGTTCCTCCACCTTGCAGAATTTACACCCGAATAAATTCATGCCAAGAATACTGTAAGTGTTATGAAAGTTAGGTATCACAAGTTAAGGAAAAATTTCTTATGTAAAAATGAACTTTGAATGAAAAAGTAAAGAGGATTGTGTAAGTAAGGGGAATAGAAGTAAGGAGAATAGAAAGTGGATTAGGAGTGGTCAAACCATTCACCGATCTTTCTAGCAAGAGAGCCCGGTGAGCGGGAGTCAGAAAAAAGTTCGAAGAAGACTAACTTCATGCTTCATGTAGATGATAAGCTTTCGATGCTACAAAATTACGAAGACTGCGTAATTACTCAGGAAAGTCAGATTCGCAAACTTTTACGGAAAAGGTAACGAAGATTCCTCACCTTTGCTGCCTCACCCGTAAAAACTGGACAGGGACTTCAAGACTCAAATAAGATGCCTTCAATGACTGGCCGCGTACGATCTATCCCTCAGTCAGAGCACCCCGCCCAGAATCCTCCGCGGCCTCTGCTATTAAAGATGGCCTAATCTCGCAGAAATAACTGGCGGAAAAAGCTTCCAGAGACCCTTTTAACACTTTTTCTCCCTTGCACCCTTTTCCGAGGACGATCTTTACTGTGTGATAGGTGTATGAGTTCGCAGCTACATAGCGTGCCACTTTCTACGCCTAAAAGTGCACAGGAACGGAGTGGAGGGTAGTAATACCAGATACCGTTTCCATTCCGCCCGTGCCATCCTCAATATGTAGTACTTGAGACGATACTATGATCCCTCAGCAAAACCCACACGCAGCGTTAGAGAACAAGCAGAAGTAAGATAGCGCAGATAAGCTGCTCCTTCGGCTATAGTCAGGCGTGTGGCTGGCCGTGCGGCAACGTGGGCGGAGTCGGGAGACATCACCGGGTGTCACCACCCTTCAGCCCTGCTCCTGTGTTCCTGATGGCCTACTAATCGCAACTGCAGACCCATTAACCCTACTCACAAAGACCACGGTCCGCGGAGGTGAGTGAACAGTTTGCCTTAATGTAATTCATGTTGCTCACCTAAAGATGAATATGAATAGTACAAGTAGACCAAAGAATACAGTAACGTTATCCATAGTTCGTAGCATCACAACCAATTGATAACGAAGAGCTGGCATAAATCGGACGAGTTTAAGAATTCGCAATAAACGAAATGTACGAAGCACTGACAGTCCTCCTTTACCCTCTTGGAATAACTCCAGTACGCTGAAAATCGCATTTGGAACACTTTGCATTTCTCGAAGGAGTTCTGGATCGATTTTGCCAACTAGCAATGAGAATGGCTTGGAATAGAATGCTATGAAGTACTGAACCTGAGCGCCACGATTCCGCCCATCAACAGATTGAAGCCATCTGACAGATATCCGAACAGACCATCGGCGAGAATCTTTAAAAGCATTTCGAATGCAAATAGACCCGTAAAGAAGAGATTGGAGTATTCCAGAATGGTGGTGAGGATTTCTGGCTGAAAATTCGTCAAAAATTAATTGATCTAATAAGTGGGAATTTTTAAAGCAACGTTCGTCAAAAAGCCAACCTGCTGATGATATTCTACACCCATACTGAGGGTATTGACCAAAATCGCCACCAAAATACCTCGAGTAAAATGATCGCATACGACGAAACGACGAACTTTTGTACGAAACCATCGCCATGCGAGATTGTGCTTGTGGTTGTTTTTTTGGAACCTTAATTGCGGGCCCAATGTCAGTCCCCGAAGAACTATGGGCGTGGCGACACAGCTGTGCTTTGCTTTACTTTTTTTGTTTCGTTGTAGTAGAAATAACCTCTACTCTCTCGCATAAGCAAAGCTAAGCTGTTCCATGTGAATTCGCCTTTCTTTCGGAAGGAGCACGTCCTTCCGGAAAGCCCGTTTGGGGTATATGGTGTTACTTCCGAGCCGCGGTGAAGAGGCGTTGCAAGCGGCTGGTTTGCGCAGCAGCCGCGTCAGGACCCAACCCACTCAACGTGGCAGCGCTGCGGCGTGTGAATTCTTTCTCTGTACCTCTCACGTGCACTAACTAGAAAAGTGTGCCATGCCGCGATGCGGAAGTAGCGTAGCGCTACACAGTGGGCCGTTAGAAAGCAGTGAGTGCATCAGTTAGAAGGTGTATGGCCATTTTTACGTCGCTCATGAAGACAGGGCAAGCCATCGTTGTGAGTCATACACACGGGGGGGGGTCGTAATTTGCGCCCCGATGGAGGGGGGGGGGTCGTAAAAGCTAATAGAAGTTTGGAAGGAACCCCAGAAAAGAGTGCCTCATACAGTGAGCGGCTTAACAACAGTTCAAACAACTGTCGCCTGAACCTACACCTGGAAAAAAAATGCCGGACTCTAAAACGCAATTTCCTGATGCCGATAGCATTTAGGTGCTGCAAAATAAATAAGAACCGAAAGATGATGACGAGGGCCAGAACTCAAGAGCAACTGTGCTGCTTCTGCAATATCCCTCAGAGGCCGCGCATTCCCACAGAACATGACAATACAAACGGCCTAAGCGTCCCACGTTAGTTTGAATACAAGCAAAACGCAATTAACAATTGAGGTGTTACTCATGCTTCAGAGTCCGAATAGAGGGTGATGAAGATGACAAAGGATAGAAATGAAGAACAACGAATGCAGATGTAAGATGGAAGATTCTAGGTCTAAAAATACTCATAGATGTCACTCTTTAATCATAATCAACAGAATTCATTAAGATGCTACGTCCCCAACGAGTAATGGAACTAGGCGTGAGGTTACTGTTTTCAGTGTACGCAATGGCACGCAGCCGCAGCTCTGCGAAACAATGGCGCCTGCATGCTAGTTGGTCGCGGTAGCCGCACGCGAGGAGTGCAATTCCCACGCTAATACAAGCGCATTGGTGCGCGCTATTTCACGACCTGGAGCCAATTTCAAGCCAAACACTAAAGTACCCTCTTTTGAACACCCATAACTTCGTTGAAAGTAAAGCTCTCGGAGAGGGGAAGTGGGAATGAGTAGAGCTAGGTTGGCTCTTGTTACCTGGATTGAACGATTTCTGAAACATTCCCTTTTTCTAGAAAGTTTCACCGTTGTGATCCTCTTGTGATCATGGGGCCAACCACAAGTCGCTACGCTTTGGACATTTATTGCAAGCTTCATGCACTGCCTTTCGAAAAAAAAAGAATTGTGCCGGACCGCAGAAGCTTCTAATGTCGCAGGCACAACTTCATTTAGGCCTGCTATTCGAAAAATTTCCCCGTTGTGATCATAAAAAAACCACTCCCCACGGCCCGAAAAATCAACCCCTCCGACGCCAGAAAATCTCCAGTTGCCTTTAAGACATTGGTATGCTTCTAAAACGCATGTTTTCGTCAAGTATATCAGGTAATAGTTCATTGGGCTCTAATTGGCATCATCCTCTGGGCAATGCGCCATGCATAGCCTTATCAGGCAGAGTGTTGGGAAGTGTGCCAACTCCTAGATAGGGCTTCCTAAGCGCAAGCACATGTGTTCCTGCGATCAGAAAGGTCTGAAAATGTACTTTCATCTGTTTATTGATCGTCACGTCGTGAGTCCTTTGGTTTATTTATAGATATGGTGCCCTTGTGGGCGGTTATCGTAGCTCCTACCATCGCCCTTCCTCGTACGTATTGTCTGTGTGCTCCACCAGCGCCGGAGTTCTGGAGGTACTGCGACCTCCTCCCCCCCCCCCGCTCGAAAGCATTTTGTGAAAAAAAACCAGAGATTTTCGGGAAAAATGGGGCAAAGTGGTAGGAGGTTGGGAGAATCTAGGAAAGTGGAAGGTAGCATGGGGAGGGGGTCGTACTTGAGGATGGAATCAGGGGGGTCGTATTTTTCAGGAAATGATCACAACGCAATGGCATGCCCTGCATGAAGGGCGATGGGTCACATGTGTCTCGTCGTTATTGATATAACATGGGAATCGCATTCATCACTTGAAAAGGTGGCAGTAATTGAGCTGTCAGGTCGGCATATAGATGTGGGATTTTGGAAGAAAAAAATCACATTCTTTAGTGAGGTTCACGCTTAAAAGGTCCCCCTGTACGAATGTGTCCGTTGAGCCTCAGGCAGTTCCTAGCGCATGTTGGGAGGAGGGGGGGGAAGTGCTCCACCTTCTAACAACACAAAAGATTTTTGCCTTGCCTTCTAGCCAACGCCTCGCTGGCTAGTAATCGAAAGCAATCGTTCCATGTCGTGCCACTGCAAAACTCGTTGTGAAAGAAATCATTTACCTTGCAGTGCTCATTATCAGACCATTCCTCCTCAGTTGCTGAACCCTCATCGCCTCTTGGACTGTGCGCCAAATGTCCTAAATTGAGTAAATTTTTGTTATTTTTTGAAGTGATTCAGGAACTCACTGGGCAATAGGTGTCTGATACTATCATTTTTCTTGCTACTAGTTATTTGGGTGAATAAGGTTTTCTCGTAGCTTGTATCGTTACAGGGGTGAAAGTCCAATATCTTCAAAAGCTCAGTGCAATGGAACTTGTCATTATTCGCATGATTGGGGCAGAGGCTGCAATGAAGGACGTCGCTAAATCTTTTATACTTCCCTTGAGGACCAGGGCACATCATTACTCGGGAACCATGGTCAAGTTCGTGCGAACCCCCTCTGAGGGGTGGCTTGATAGCCCCCCTTACCCATACTACCTACTACCTACCACTTTCCTAGGTCTTCCCAACTAACTATCGGTTTTTTCGGAAATCCCCGGGAATTCTCTCCTTTTTCTCCAAAATTTGATTTCGCGAGAAGGTGGGGAGGAGTGGAACATAGCACATGTGAAACAGGAGAAACCGCGAAAAAAAATTTCCCAACGCCGCAAATTCCTCCCAGTAGGTCAGAAGGTAACTACCAAACGGTACAAGGAAACTGGTTCAATCAACGACAAGGAGAGTAGGAGAATAGTCAGCACTCCTGCGGCTTCTACTTCATTACCAAGAAGACATACTGATGGACATATAAAACCTTGGTCCAAGCTATTTCAAGGAAGCTGTTCGTGGAGTTTCCTTTCAGCACTTCGCGTTCTAGGGCAGCCGCAAGCTATTCCGTTACTACACACATGGGCTGCAACAGGTTTCCGGATCAAAACCCTGGGTCAGGTGAGCTACACCCACTTGAGGTCGTTTATTAGGCACCAGACTCGTTTTCAAAAATCTTTCAAAGGCAAAACGCGCGCTAAAATGCGGGTACAGTCCTGCATGGAAGCAGTTGGGCACAGCAGGAGGGCTTAATCATTTCCAAGAGCTTCAGTTGCTTTTTTGGGGTTATCTTAGCGAGATGTTAATAGAAATTTGGAACTTTGACATTACCGTTCCCTATTTTGTCCTGCTCTTCACCGATAACTACACGTCTTGATCGTTTCCTTCTCGTTCGTCTTTCTTCAGAGATAGCTGTTTCATCCTCCGGTTCGACTTCTGAAGCAAAATGTACTAAAAGGTACGAAAACAGTCAATTTCTTACGCAGAAACAATGCTGAATATTAAAGACACACGGCACATAAAATAGCAAATATATTGACTAGTGAACAGATATGGTTTCTCACTAATATATTTTTCATCCATCCTAGAAATCGGGGAGGGCTACCCGGACAACCCAATACACTAAGAAACTTGCTTTTTCGAGCTGCACTCATTGAAATGCAGTTGCGTAGAAGTCCAATTGAATAATACCATACTAAAGGATCAGAGTATTTCCATTCAATTTTTCCATCGCGCTCACTGTGCATGTACACTCGAAATCCCTGATATGTGGTAGGCGTGGATGCGTGCTTTCAACGTGCATTTACACTGATATGTGTAGCGGGCTGCCCCCGTGTCTTCAGACTAAACGTGGGTGGCTGCAATCTTAGAGAGATATTTCATTTGACAGCTTTTGTGGTGGTGTCAACGTCCGAACCTAACAAGATGACTTTTCAAATGAAATATCCCACGAGTAACCCATTCTATGCAATGTTCATATGCCACGCCTACTCCATCTTAGGGATGAAGAGTGTACCGGCGCGCGATGATGGCGGCCTGACCAATTGAGAGATTGGCACGACTCCCCACAAAGTCAGCCATACGCCTAGCTATCGCCACATGTTACGCAACAACTAACTTTTCTGATGGGGGAGGGAGGGGGGTCCTGGCACAAGGCCAGGGCGCAGAGGAGGATTGCGGCTGCTAACAATAAGGCACGAAAAGGTGCAAAAATATGTGGCGAGCTAGGGGAAGAGTTTTGTGGGATGACACACCTGAGGCTGTGGACCTGTACCTCTCGCAGATAATCATACAGTGTGTCTTAAGCTGAGATTTGAGCTCTACAAAATAGTGAATGGCGATAAACGCCTTCGAGAATGGGAGACATTGGTAGCACTTGCCTTCTTCCTCGTCAGTACGTTCTTCTATTCTGGACAGCGTCGCCATGTCGTCTAGCTTTGATTTTCGTCGCTTTTTCGCCTCGGTCTTTTTCTTCTTCCCGTCGTTCTTCCATATAAGCGTTGAACTTCTGAAGTTTCATTGTTTACACTTGCTTAGATAAAAACCTCCTCCTTCGAAAATTCTCATGTTTCTTATAAATATTGATCAAAGATCCTGCAATAATGACATCAGCGATATGAGCTTAGCGATTCAAACAAGAAGCAAGGCAGCGATCATACTCCGCAATAGTAGCGAACTGGCCGCGGCAATCGCGTAGGTAGGACCGATCGCGCTCCAACGTTAATGGATGGACGCGCGTCATCGCGCAGTCTGAACGCATTGTCGCAGTGGTTGCTCTGATCTATCGACCGAATCGCTGCTACCGTGGAGTTTGAGGGCTGCATAATTCCGATGAGGTCAACAAATAACAAAAAAATCAGAAGAGATGAGGAAGGACAGCCAAAGATTAAAAAGGATTTGATGCGAGGTGCTGGTTTCCGGGGCGGTTCCATTAAAACCGACGTAACGATTTAGCAGAAGCATCATGAAAATGAACTGTTGAATTTATTAACTAACCCTCTTCACTGTCCGTTTCACTCTTCGAAATGTGTGTCCAATGAAACGAACGATTGCCGCATAGACGGTATCACCTCCTTCTTCTTTGGACGACGCACCACCAGCGTCACTACCGCTTCCGGCTGAAAAAATTGGTAGGATTAGCGACAAAGCTGAAGTTTTCTGATCTCAAGCTGGTAGTTAAGGTGCATAGTGTGCAGTGACAAGGCGCGTCTTATAACGCGAAAGGAGCTAGGATCAAACTTCACACTTGCTAAACAGAACCTCTCGATATCCGGGTCAGAGTCAGTTTCCGTCAAACTAGCCTGGGAGGAGAAAAAAAAGTGATTCAGCCAGGGCCCCCGCACGCTGGGATTCCTAGCTAGGGGATCCTACATATTTGGTCGCTGGAGGGTATAATAAGGCCGCAGCATTTGCCTTTCGAGAAAATGTGACTCTTTCCTTATTTTTTTCGCGTTTCACGCAGCTTCACACCCCCCCGGGTGTCCATGAAGACGCCCGAGCAACACGCCTTTCACGCAATTATGCGATAGTAGGGTACTTTTTCTGTAAGAAAACTGGAGTTTTCTAGAAAAAAATATGTGGGAAGTGTTTTAGAAGAAGCCTACAACATAGGCATTTGCGTATAATGCAAAACATTTGAAGCGGGAGGAGGGTGTCGCCACCAGAGAGAAACTATTGAGGGAGGAAGTCGCGTTTTGCAAATATTCTTCCCCAGCAGCAGGACGTTCCGTGGAAGAATAATCGGACGATCACTGCAATTCCTATGCTAGAACCAAGTCGACGCTCTACTCTCCTCCAAAGGAAATTGGGTGGAGGGGGGGGAGGATGGCTGAGCGCGCATCTTGAAAGAATGATGTCAAGGCAAGAGTTCCTCCGCGCTGAGACCGTGCAGGTCTGTCATCCGTCTTAAACCATTTTATAAACCCGTATTGATTCATTAGAGTTACAGTAATTGACTTTTACACGATACCAGTATGGAAATCAGGACTAGGTCCGCATTATTGTAAAAACGCTTCCTTCTTGAGCATTCGCCTCGGTTTCACGTCGCTTTGTCTCGGCGAACTGCGTGGCTATTACGACAAGGCACAAATTAATCATGAAGAAAGCACCTATCTGAAAATAAACAAGTGAAAAGGCTTTGAGAAAGAACTTTCTCAGAAGATTCTCAGAAGAAGAAAGATTCACTGAAATCTTCGGATGGATAATCACCCTATTTTTTAAGGGTAGTAAAGCGCATTTTCAATTGCAACTGGAACGCAAAACGTACGTGAGAATCTCCTGGACAAAGCGATGTCTCTGTTTGTCTTTTTTTTATATATCGTTCTCCTCTGTTTACTTTTTGAATACTTTTGATTTACTTTGATTTGATGCTACTATTCGACCATTTCATCGGTATTGATTACCTCCATGTAACTAATGTTGATAAAATTACTAATAGTTTTTCGAAGTTGTTTCGTGATATCTTGTAAAGCCCTCACTGCCGATCACTATCTAACCATACGGCTGACCGGCTCACCATGTCAAACGTGTGAAGTCTGTAAGGCTGCGTCCAGCAGCAAGCAATTGTGTCCACCAGCGTTCCAAGCGTCCGGCAACGACTCGGAAAGTAAGATATCTATCTGGCCTCTGCCACGACCCTCCAGCGTCTACCAGTGTGCGCTGGCGTCTACCAGCGTCCACTAGCGTCTGGAGGGCCAGGGAAGTATAGCATCGATCGAGCGTTTGCCAGCGTGCACCAGCGTCTACCAGCGTCCAGGAGAGGAGAGTATGGCGCGATAGGAGGGTAGCAGACAGCTGGTAGAGTATGGGGAGATAGGAGGGTGGCAGACTGCTGTAGAGAGTATGGTGATGGGAGGATAGCAGACAGCTGGTACTCTTCCATTGCGCCAGGCTCTCCTCTCCCGGACGGTGGTAGACGCTGGTGCACGCTAGCAGACGCTATCATATTTGTATTTTAAAAACAACCTACTATGTGTATGGAATGGTAAAAAGGAGCGTTGATAAAGTGGACAGATGAGAGAAAAGCCGGGTATCAGTAGAGCATTTCATCATACGAATGCAGACAGGCGCGACGGACCACGCTCCTCAAGCCGGTCCGGTGTCACAGGAGGAGGCCTGGAAGTGCTCGTGAAATCAGCCTGAAGAAACCTTAGAGACGAACCAACCTCGACGCACGCTGCGCACCGCACAACGGGTAATGCCACACTCTGTGAACTCGGGTGACCCCTCGATGACCTACTTTTTCCCGGCTGTCCTGGACTGCCATCCGCCCTCGCCTGTCTCAAACTATTAGGTCATCCCATTCAAACGTGCCGCTACATATAGAGAAATGGCAGAAAAGCAAAGGGGATAGAGCAGCGGGCTACTATACCATTTGAAAGCTAGTACCTTAATCTGTGTGTCTGTGAAATTTGGCGAACCTAGCCCCAGAAGAAGTTCCCGAGAAATTGAAAAGAAGCCTGAGTGGTGAAAATCGGCACAGGTTTTTCAAATCAGACGTCATAAGAGGAAAGTGCGCCGCTCAAATTTGACCTGCGCCGGACCATAGTTGTGTGTAAGGGTGTTCTCGAAATACACGGTGGAAGATTTGGTTCAGGAGCCCGTACAAGGAAGAAAGGAAAAAATTTGTTGTCGTGGATGGTCCCATAATATTCATCCTGCACAAGAAAAAGGGTGGATGAAGTCAGGCACTGAATATCTGATCACAGAGCCTGGACCTTTGTCGGGTTTCCCCGCGAGACTGACATCCCTGCTGCAATTACTGTACGTGTTATGACCGATAAACTGAGGATGGTCAAGAGGGTGTGCGCATGGGTACCCAATTTTCTTATAGAAGCACGAACGCAGTACCGATTCTATACCTCCAGCAGTAATGTTCTCAGCATGAGATGTCACTCACAACTGTGAAAACGCACCCCGGCCCTAGATGAAATATGGGTGGTCTCGGACCTCGAGTCGAAACTCACATCGTCAATTTTCCTTAGTGATATGCCAGATGAGAAGCCGCCCGAGTTCTACCATGAAGAGTTACGTGGGCGCAAGTGGATGATCATCATAGCAAAGGATTCCCACACTGTGGCTTTCAAGCGGCTCTATACAGAGAACAAATCCGTCACTGTCGGTGCATATTGCCTGTTCCTCGGCATTCAGATCGACAAATGGATGCTACCACACAACTACAAGAAGGCCACCGTTTGCTCGTCATAGTACCAGACCCCGAGTAACTGTATTGTAGATCAGTGCTGGGACACAAACAATACTGAGACCTGGGTTCATCGCCCCATTCGCCCGTCATAAAGCCATGCGATTACAACTGTTCTATTCAGTAGAGAGTACTCTTCGACGGCAGACGCTACAATGTTTTGTCATTTGCCGAAATTGGCAACAACAGCAATTTACTCACAACTTTGTTTGAAAAATCGAAGGTACCAGAGGTCCAAAGGCCCTCGGGGCACTGGGAGCGGGTCATTGGTGAAGGAGGGATTTACTCATCCTGAAAGCTAAAATATCACTTTTCTATCTATTCTCCTTTTGTTTTATTCAAATAAAACCGGCGGCACGTTTGAATGGGATGAACCGTAAATATTTTTCCCGGTGCCTGGAGTCGCTCTGGAAAACAGTTTCATGAGTTTTTCAGATCTTGGCTTCCACTCACCACGAAAACGCCTCCCCCGACAACGTGGGGATGCCTCGTCAACTCCGACATGTAGATCAACCTTGGTGAGCACTTTCCTCTTTCTCACGATCTTGTAGTGCTTTAGGACCGAACTACGATTCTTTAAACTGGTACCTCGTGTTCAAATGCACGCCCCGCCCACTGTGGGCGAGCCTCAGCACGCCACAAACATGCGTGGACTCCTTGGCTAGGTCTGTCATCTGTCCAATGGACTTTTCTCTGCCGATCTCTGATCCATTTCCGGAACCGAGGTTGCGCCATACTTTTGCAGGAAGCACCGCCCATCTCAGTACCCAGCCCATTTCGAGTGTGTCTCCTGAATTTCCACCCAGCCCATTTCGAGTGTGTCTCCTGCATTTCTCCGCCAACCCAATGCCAGCCTTATTCCACTTTTTCCCGTTTCCGGGCTGCTTTGTAGCCAAGTTATAGCGTTTTTTTAGCGACACGTACGCTCCGCCCATTTCGGGTGTGTCTCCTCTATTTGGTCGGTCAGCCCTTTGTTAACTTTACTGCACTGTTCCCTCATCTCGGGACTGCTCTGGAACCGAGTTATGACTTTTTTCAGTGACATCGCTAACTTTCGACGCACGCCCCGCCCACTGTGGGCGGGGCTTACCATGGGTCATGGGTGCTATTTAGGTTTTGTCCCATGCTCTACCCATCCCCACCATGACCCGACCTCTCCAAGTTCTTCTTCAGGTGCTATGAATTTCGTGACAGACAGACAGACAGACACACACACACGGACATAGCCGATTATATTAGTAGGATAACATAGGCGTGAACTTCAAAAACTGAATGAAAACAATACTCATAACTTACAACTATAAGTAGAACAAAATAGATCCAATTCCAAAAAGAATGGGCATCTTGGACGTAATACATGATATCCGTCCATCCCTCCAGCGATATCACCTTAAGTCAAGAATATTTCTACTTCTTGAAAGAACCGATGGAAATTTGGAAAAGTGTACTCACAAGAAAAATCGCTACCCATGCGAATCCTATATTATCAAATGACACTGAGCCTTGGAAAGGGTTCCGTTGCATAACCTGATACAATGTGATTTTGCGTGTCAATCAATAGCATGTGTTCGGCACGATTATGAAATTCGTTCAATCAATAATTGTAGATGACGACTTACCTGGCACTCGTTGTAATAGATATTCCAGTTGATACACGCTTTGTCACTAACTTTATCATAGTCGTCTATAGTTAAATTACACCTGAAATAGAGGTGTTTAACGAGAATGTATACTGCCCATTTTCGACAGCAAGACAGGGCGTTCCGGCGAGCGTATTTGCGTTGCAGTTGTTCAAAAGACTACATTATATCAACCCGGAGATAACGAATTAGGAACACCGTTTCTTCATAACGATTGTTCAACAACTGCAGAGAAGGAGGAATGGAGGTAGCCGGGGGGGGGGGGAGAACCACGGGGCTGCGCCACTATGCCGCGTCATGTCGGCATGTCTGCGCCCTCTCACTGAGATGGTGCCCGGAAAGTTTCAAAGTTGATAGAGCCGGCATAGATTCGTCACGTCGCTATACAAGTAGCATTGAAATTGTATTTATTGTAAAGAGTTTACAGCTTACTTCACTCCATCTACAGTATATGGTGGAAGGTTGGAGCATGTGTGTAACCCGTTTGCATCTGCATGACTACATATGTATTCTAACGAGGTATCCTCGGGAATATAGAACCTGAATGAAGAAATATTACTGACTAAATTGATATTACTGGTAAGATATTTTACGGGTGGAATATTCTATACATACCTGGTTAATTTAACATCATTGAATAGTGCGGTTTGATTTTCTGATATAGTTTTGGGTAAATTAATCACACATCGGTTTCTGAAAGATTGAAGTTACTCGTATTCGTAGAAAGTCAAAATGTTCACTGACGCTCCTTACCGTAATAGACCCGCCCATAGCTGAACTCCAACAATTCCAAAAATGAAAAACACAAAGAAACACAACAGCAAAACATTTCCCAACATTGGCAATGTGTCAAGAAGGAGATTCACTGAAATTGTAGATTTTTAAAACTGAAAAGTTTTACGTGGCGTGCTTTCTATGACACCACGCTCATGTTATTTGAAATTCTTTGACAAGAGGTCCCAACCACAATCAGGATGTGTTCGACAGTTACGAGCTGGTAAAAGGACAATAAGTTTCTGTGATTGGTGGATGTCCGGGATCACCAATCACAAGAGCTATACGCGCAACTCGCATGTCGGATATCCATCATATAGTCCGTATCGAAGGTTAAGGGAAAAGTCTCCAGGTACACTCCCCATAGCTAAGACGGAGTAGGCGTGGCATTTGAACATGGCATAGAATGGGTTACTCGTGGGATATTTCAGTTTGAGACAACTGTCATCTTGTTCTGCGTTGGACAGAGACACGACCACAATTGTGTCAAATGAAAATATCTCTCCAAAAGCACAGCCACCGCCACATTTAGTTGAAGACGCAGCCACGCCCACCACATCTCAGGGATTTCGAGTGTCAAAATGGTTGCGAGACCGACGACGGCGGCGTACTCGCGTGACGACTCTAATCTCTAGTACACACGCCTCTGCATCTCTTCCGTTTCTACTCTTGCAGTCGTCACTACGACCTCACCACGTGGGTGGAAACGCCCCTTTTTGCCCAGGATATGGATGCAAATACTGAACGTAGAACTAAACTAGCAAAAGTAAACCGGAACGGTTGAACCAACCAAGAATCCGCATTGATGGTATCCGATTCACGGCTCGAAGTGGTCGCAGTACTCGTACCGTACGTATCGCGGTCAGATTGATGTTCCCACCGAGATATTCTTGCAGCAAGAATTCGGCAATCCTGAAATTTTTTTCTTCATGTCGACTTGACCTATTACGCCGTGATTCATAATCGAACTAATCAATCCGAACCATGGAAAAGTGGTGTGTTTTTCAATAGATACCCTTGTACCATTTTCGCGTTAGTACGTTTCTAGGTGGGGGCGCTAGGGCGCAAACTTGGTCGAGTGCCTTCACCTAATCGGAAGCTGACTCCGCCCTGCGGTGATGTCTACCGCCTCGCCCGTTTGTGTGCTCCTACGCCCCTCCTCTCTAGTCTTCTCCAACGGATCTGCACCTCTCACTCGGAACCAGGAGCAAGGTTAAGGAGGGATTGTAAAGAGCGTTTTCAATGATCTCCTCTGTTTTTTCCAGACCTCGGCTTATTTCCCCACCCTCATTAGCTACAACTTATGGTCGCGACATGTGCCTTTAAGTTATGTTCTCGATGGAATAACGGAACATTTACATCGCTGATTCCTTTTTCGAACAGTTAATAAACCTCTGAACATATTTCTTGAGTATACTGATGAGCTCGATTCAGAAACCAGTTCAGAAAAGTAATTCACGAAAGGTTATGAGTCTATGGGATGTGTTCACTTTCCAATCAGGTGACTTACATCTGTAAATCCCAACATCCAATATAAACCTAGTACCTTGGTTAAGGACAAGTTCAATACTTAGCACGGTCACAGATATGTAATGATGATGGAAAATGTGATTTGCTAGGCGCTATCTGATTCGCCACTGAAAAGAGCGAAAGAAAGCGCTAGACGAAGATCTCATTTGTGATTAATAGCGAGCATTGTGTGGGTGCACGGCGAAAAAACACTGACCGCTCGTAGGAGAGACCAGACGACGAGGGGTGAGACAGCATAAAGATCAGCGAGACCTTTTCCCTCCCGGCCGGCGACAACTACAGTAAGCGGTTCAAAGAATTCTGGGCGTGGATAAATACACTACACAAGCTCTAGCACCCTGACTAAGCACGTTTGGATCGCGGTAGTGGTATCGCCGATCGGTGAATTGCCTGCGTTATACAAGGAAGGGATTATACCATGCAACTAACTTTAGAATATGTCTTATACTGTGAATAAATTATAGTGAACACGTACCCTGCCACCACAATGAAGAAATCGAGACGATTCCATGTATCTGACAGATACGCGGCCGGACCGGTGAAACCGAGTGCAACAATTTTCACTACCTGAAAAGGAAATCTTCAGTTTTGGCAATTGTAAAGATATATGGTCATTACGCTGCAACAATAAATTTCTTGATAGATGTATAAAAAAGATTCTACTCTAAAATGAAATTCTGAACTAGAAATTTCGAAATCTGGGACTGTTGCTGTGATTTACATTCAAGACAGTATACAACTCAGGAAAAGAGTTTGTAAAATAGAATCATCCTTATTCAGCCTCTCTCTCTTCTTGCGAACTCGTCATGTTGTACGTGTTCTACTTGTTTTGTGTCTTACGAGTTGCTAGGAAGAACATTTGTTTGAAGGCAAATGGCACGATCAATCCCCAGAGACGAGTAGGATTAACGCCTGGCAGGACGGAATCCCGCGCCCTTGAGCAGACGCTGCGTAGCAGGCCTTTCCCACGGAATGTACCCTTATAAGGCTCTAGCAACACACCGACCCGGGCGCCCACCGCGCCCGCCCGCCCACAAATGGACAACAGTACTTGAAGCTGTACTGTCGTACTTCCTCATTTGTGAAGTAGAATAGGAGCGAAGGAACTGATATGAAGCGGTGCTGCCTGGACGTGGGAGTACACACGTGCAGCCGTACCTACCGTAGCAATTATTGGCAAGATGCCTACGGGAAACTCGTCCGAAATTGCTTTTGAGTCATGAAGAACGAAGGTTTTTCTTCGAGGGACTTTGACCTATTCATTTCGTTTTTTTCACCATTTTTCCACTATATAGCACCTGCTAGTATGTTGAGCCGAGTACCATTATCGTGCCACATGTCTTTCACACAGAGTAACGTTTTGACTGAATCGCCATAGGCATGAACATATTTCTGGGATTTCTCTCCCCCCCCCCC